TATTTTAAGTGTGGGAGAGCCATGCTTCGGCACGAATGGGCCGGCTCGACCGGAGTGATACCACGGCCTCACAGAAAACCGACGTGAAGCAACGCTTGCGTTGTGTTTCGTCGTGTGAGTGAGGTTACCGGAGGCCCAATTACCTTCCCCTTCCCCAATCTCCCCAATCCCTTAATCCCCAACGATCCTCAAACTCCTAATCCCCAAAAAGCCGGTGACGCACTTGTAACGCCTCTGGTGTTCCAGGTGTCCATGGGCGACGCAGATTGCTTACCATCAGGTGATCCGTCTGCTCGTTTACCGGCTTATGCCATAAAAAAAGTATTAATACTTTAAAAATGGCGTTATAGTTTACGCTGTATTGTTCAAAGACGAACGTTGTTGTTGATATTTAATCTGGTTGACAAATTTTATGTAGCCTATTTTGTTACACTTCCACACTTTAACCACTGACCCGCTTTTGATAAAAATCGGTACAGAGATAGATAAAACACTAAATCTTGATTGTTATTAATATTTTTTTTATCACAACCAATTCGCTTTAATTAACTAATTCATAATAATTATGTTCCTCAACAGGAATACCTATACCTCGTGATAGCTGACCTCCTAAACCGGGGTCGACAATGGGAGCTAGCGGTGGAAATAGTGAAAGAATTAGTATCAGTATACGAAGAAGAAGCTTTAGGCTACGGGCCCCTTGCGGATCTCCATACTCAGTTAGCGAGCATGTATGACGCCATGTTGAGGACGCCAAGGTCACATCCAGGGTACTTTAGGGTTGTGTATCATGGAAAAGGATTCCCTGAACTATTGAGGACTCCTTATGTAAGTTGTTTTTTGATACGATATTTGTTTTAGTAATTAGTACTTGTAAAAAGATATTGTGAAGTATGGATTTTAACCCGGGTTTTCTACCAACATAATTTTAATTTATAAAATTGTGATAAGACAGATTTTTATTTTATTTATTTATCGATGAAATGATATTTGTAAAGTAATCCCATATCCATCTTTGTTTCCAATTCAAATTAAAATTATTTAAATCAAATTTTAATATCTAAATGAGATAAATTACCATAAATAAATGCCGTACAAAGATAAATTACCGTATATCACTAATTTTATTGTTTGCGCAACTTTGCGCATCGATCAAAACTTACGCAAACATCGATTCGAATTGCGCAAACACCTACTTAACATTTTCCAGGGCTACATATACCGTGGCAATGAATATGAACAACTACAAGAGTTCAAAGACCGACTCCTAGACGAATGGCCTGATGCAGAAGTGTTACCGAAATTGGATCCACCCGGACCCGAGATCACGGAATCTGATGGACAATGTATCCTTTTTGATAATGTTTAGATTGTGGTGATTACTCTTGTAGACTTTGAGGACTGTATTTTGTATGTTTATAACTGCCTCGTTGGCCGAGTGGTCGCAAGTACTACTGGTTTTTTTTAAAATCTCAGTATTAGTCTGGAATTGTGTCCGATATGGCAATAGGATCACGCCCACATGGGACTCATGATATCGTTACATTACATTGTACATTGCATTGCATTAAGTGCCGTAATGTGCACTGCACTCTGCCTACCTCTTCGGGGATAAACGTCGTGATGTTATGTATATGTATTTTGTATGTTACTTTTAGTAGTAATAAAGCTTTAATGTCCACCTGGTGGTAAATGGTTACTGTATAAACATAATATGTTTCACCTCTTTGGTACTTAAACCATTGGCCCAATGAATTATTCCGTTGATGATCAATTCATATTATTTACGAGTTATATTTTATTATGATTATGACAATAAAACTGGTAACTTTCATGTTTGTGATAATCACCACTATCTTTAGCCCAAAGACATTCACTAAACGTCTCTTCGCTTGAGGGGTGGAATATTGCCAAAATCCTCACGCTTGATAAACTTAGATAACGCATTGAACCTTAAATATATGTATTTTCTAAAATAAGAACCTTAACACACACAAACAGATTTACAAATAAACGCGGTAGATCCAGTAATGGGTGACAAATTGAAGCGTCTCTCTGGCAAGCCGATAGCTGAACAAATACTCCAGTACTACAAACACAACAATGTTGACAAGTTTGAATTCTCACGACCTTTTTATAGAGCAGGTAATGTTGATATTAAAATATAAAATATTATTTAAGAATTAAGATATATTTGTGAGATGTGCAAGACAAAACTGCTATGAGCAAAATTTTAATTACTGAAAAAATGCAAATCATTTCTATAATAAATAAATAAAATGTTTATTTGGTGTAAAAAGCCAGATTACAAAATAAATCTTAATGTCTAAATAAAGTCTAAAAATTTGTGAAACCTGAACTAGGTCCAAGCCTGTGTTTCAGGTTAAAAATGTAGTGAAATATTTAAAATATCTATATTAATAATTTCGTCAAGGGGTACGGTAGACTCGATCGAAACATTACCTGAATAACAAAACATTAAAAAATATCGATTTCGAGTTGACAGGACAGCATATATCCGCAAAATTCGGATTACGGAGATTATTTTCGGTATGACACTGACAGACAAACCGCAGTCGCCATCTTGAGTAGACAATAAACGTTCCGTTTTAAACTAGCTCTCAAATACGCCTCGCCAATCAACACTTTGTCGCGTCAAAAAAGTATAACAAGAAATATGAATAATATCACGCGAACGTAGTCCCAGCTAGTATAAAATAAAATGATAATTAAGAAATAAGATATATTTGTGAGATGTGTGAGGCAAAATTGCTGACTAAGCATTTAATTAATGCAAAAATGCAAATCATTTAGATAATATAAGGACTGGTTAATTTTACATGTCTTAGGTACATTTTGTTTTTCCAACTATGAACCACACGCGGTTTTATATGACATTTTTTGTCAGTGAATGACTTATTTTGGCTTTGGTATTGATACCAATTGGTTTTGTTCATAAGTTTTAATTTATAACACAATTTGTACTTGTAGAAGAATCACTGGACGGCTCAACGGACGATTTATCAAATCAAAACGAATTCGCCACTCGATGGTTGGAGCGTACGGAATTAGAAATTAGTGAGAAATTGCCAGGTAAGACATATGTCATAATAATTAGTGTTCATTTAAAACTGAAACTTTAAACTATTAAAGAGAAGGTCTGCAGTCCAGTTCCTTATTTAGCATAGCAAACTAGATCTTGATTTTATTTCTTTCTTTCATCACTTGTTATGTTGTAACTATGTTATGTTGTATCTGTCTGAAATACCAACGTCTGGCTTCAATTTATTTAACTAATGCTCCTTTCCCAGGCATTCTCCGCTGGTTCCCAGTACGTTCGCAGCGTACATACGAGGTGTCCCCGCTGACGGCCGCAGTGGAGGCGCTGAAGGACTCCAATAGAAGACTGAAGTCACTCATCATTGAAGCCAGGGCACCTGACGCGCCGCTACATCCACTTACTATGAGGCTTATAGGTATTTCATTATTTTTAGTCTTTGATTATTTTATGCTAAACATGATAAAATAAGGTAATGGGATAGGTGTATTAATTGAAATAGCTTGACTAATTTCAAGTCACACTGGGGCTCATATTGATAAGCAGTGGGAGTGGTACAGCAATGTTATGATACCAACTCTATCTATAAGGAGAAAAGGATATACATTTGATTATAGAATAACTGTCATCGCGTCTACCAATATTTTTCTCCTGATTTGTATCTTCGATGATTTAGATAATTCATCAAGTTTTAATCCTTAGATTATAGGAGTATGATCAAATATGATCAAGGTCAATGTTGAAATTCTTGTACAACACATAAATAATTTACTTTCATTTAGGTAGATCCTTACTAATATTATAAATTGGAAAGTCAGTTTGTTTGTTTTTTCCGCTTTCACGCCGTAACTACTAAACCAATTGGTTTGATTTTTTGCAGACGTAAAGTTAGAAGTCTGGATTAAATAATAGGGTACTTTTTATCCCGGAAAAATTTGATATTCCCAAGGGAAAACAAAAGTATTGGTATAGATGGCGCTGTGAGTATTGGTATGTCACATAGGCTACTTTTTATCCTTTTGTGACGCGAGCGAAGCCGCGGGTAAAAGCTAATTTATTATAAGTCTGGTAATAATGTGATTACTTCATTGTTCAAGACTATAAAAGAAAACTTGTCTATAATATTCTCCTAAACCAATCTAACCTATCACTTATCATTATTCAATTTGACTTTTCCGCCTACAGGTATCCTAGACCCAGCAGTACAAGGCGGTATAGTGAACTACGAGCGAGCGTTCCTGACGCCGGCGTACGAAGCGAGGCATCCTGACCATGCACCTCTACTCACTGAGCTAAAAGACTTGATCGCTGATCAGATACCGCTGTTGAAGTTTGGTAAGTACCTATTACTTATATGCTAAATATTGTACTACGGGTAATAGGGTAGTTTCCTAAATTTTATTGTAATGTCCGTCTGGTAGACTAATTTAAAACATTGTTCACGTTATTTTATTTAGCTCCCACTCCTAAACTTTAATTAGTTTTATCTAAGTGTTGTGACCCAATACGACAAAATAAAAAATACGTGTCAAATATTCTTTCATTATGTAGTTAACGGACTACATGGATTCATAATTTTCATAGCTCGTTTTTTTATGGCGTAAGCCGGTAAACGAGCAGATGGATCACCTGATAATAAGCAATCGGCGTCGCCCATGGACACCTGGAACACCAGAGGCGTTACAAGTGCGTTACCGGCTGGCTTTTTGGGGATTAGGAGTTTGAGGATCGATGAGTTTCACGGATTGGGGAAGGGGAATTGGGCGTTATCATCCCTATAGTTACTCTTTCTCGTATAATTTACTGAGTAACTCCATGTAACAATGATTAAAGTATCGCATTGACTAATATCGATTAATAAATCTTGAAGTATTTAATATTTATTGTTGTCAAGTCAATCATCTCATGACAGCTAAAGTTATTTGACTTTACGTACCACTAACGCAAAATAATAAATTATTATATGATAGATATATTGTATTCTATATTGTTTTAAAACGCGACAGGTTTGGACGTGCACGGGTCCCGTGTGTCTGCGGACATGGAAGAGATGCAGGCGCATCTGTTGAAATGTTTCAGAAGGGTACAGCAACACGTACACCAGCGATACGGACGGAAGGTCAGACTACTAATTTATTCTTAGTTTCTTTTATTTTATTATAGCTTTAAGCAATGAAGCACGATCTATCTAAATGATGTTGCAACAGTTTTTAATCAATATTTAGTTAATTCAAAATGATTTTAAATAGATAAGTTTGAGTTACGAAAAGGTTGACGTAGCCTTTTGGTTAAAGGCCCTTAAAATGAAATAGAATAATCCCGTATATCTCCAAATGATATAACGTATAAAGCAATTTGCTGAAGAATATTTTGTTGCTTTGCAGAACTGCGACATCGAGGTCGACTCGGCTGAGGTACAGCTTCGTATGCCGTTCCGCGACAGTTTCAGTATGGAATCCAGCAACAACTCTAACAACAGGATGTCCGATATATCTACTGGAACTGAGTAAGTATCTCGAAACTATGACCTTCTGTGCAAGTTTTGCTATAAGAACGTTCGGATAATTGATTCTACATTTGGTATAATGATGTAATGAGATTTTATCAGTTTTTATAACTTTCGTAATCCTTTCCTTATTTAGTGTCCATGTTGGCATGTCTCCTTGTGCCCTGTTTGTGTTTAAAAACACGATTTTCATGTATCAGGTTCTATTACACCGAAAGTAATATATCGCTATCACTACATAGTATAAAACAAAGTCGCTATCCGCCCCGTCTGTCTGTCTCTATGTATGCTTTGATCTTTAAAACTACGCAACGGATTCTGATGCAGTCTTTTTTAATAGATAGAGTGATTCTTAAGGAAGGTTTATATCTATAATACATGCATACTGCACCCGTGCGAAGCCGCGGCGGGTCCCTAGTATTTTATATATATTTTATTTATTTATTTATACAACATGTAACGTAATTAACGCACACCCTCAAACACCCCAATTAGAATATTATGTTATAATCATAATACATACACTAAATTTTTAATTTGACATGTATATGCATCCTTACTGGTCTTGTCATAAAGTTTATTTTTCTTTATTTTGTATTGAATGATAAAATTTGTATGAATAAAAATAAAACTGCGATTTTAAAAGCCTTATTGCTTTGACTTACGATCCATTTCGATTTGTTTTAACAATACAGGGTTAATATGACAAAAATTTCCGTAGTTTTAATTATTTTTGGGATAAAAAATTACCTGTACTAAAAATTATATAAATCGATTCAGTTAACGATTCTGAACAAACTATTCTCAGGATATAAATAAATGATAACATTCATCTTCTTGCAGAACGTCGACGAAAGGGAGGTTCTTCAGTTTCAACGCTGCTATAAATCCCTTGTCAAGGTAAATTAATCACACATAACATATAACTGTTTCATTAAGTATGGATTACGTAATAGTATTAATATTGTATTTTGTCCTCTCCAGAAACAGTAGTACAGGCGTCGTGAGTCGCTTCGCAACGCTGCAGAGTTCACCGGGTAGAAGAAATAAAAGGAATCTGAGAAAGGTAAAAATTGTATTTATGTACCATGTCATGATATAGGGATGAAAAGTAGCCTGTGTTATTCCGAACTATAATATCTTAATCCCTTCAGCAAGCAACGTTAAAACGTTAAACGACTAACGCTATGTGTAGTTTAGTTCAGAAGCCTTAGTACGTGTTTTTTTTTTTTAAAGTAATCGAAATGAGCTCTGATTGGTTGGTTCATTGAAGTCGGCCAATCAGACGCCGAGCGCGTACCACCGATATCGGTATCTAGGTTAGTAATGTACCAAAACACTGGCTAGGTACTGTTGCTTTATCTGTACTGAATCTACACTTGGAAGCATATAAACGGAGCCAACAGCGTTTTGTTTTTCATTTTTCCAAACCTCTATAACTTTAAAAAATATTACTCCTTTTCTAACAAAATGTTCTCATTTTAAAAGTAACTAATATGTATTTTATACTAACAAAGAAAAAGTGCTAGTGACACCGTTTCTTTGGTCCCAAATGTATGTATATTTTATGTATATATTATTCATGTACACACATACAACATAAAGGACAGCACATATATGTATAAAATTGAACTACAAAGGTACCTTCCTATTGGAATTTCTTCCTATGGACCTGTCGCTCTGGAAAAGTAAGAATGATACAAGACACAGCGTGTATACACTTTAGGGAACAGAGAGTATAGTTCCCTAAGATCGGAAAAGGAGGATCCTCCGACCAAGCGAGGTGTTCGTGCCTGGCGGGCTTTCTGCCCAACAGTTGTCTTCGTGGTCATCTCTCCGTCCCCGGCTGGGGGCGTGAGGTCGCGCGTTCCAGGCCGAGGCCTGTCTCGGCGGTGTCTGACGCTGCCTGCGACTGCAGGCGAGGGGTTGGGTTAGTCGGGCTCCTTGCGGGGCCCGATGCGGTGTCAAGTCCGGTGGTTTTACCCCGCCGTGAGCCGCGCTCTAGCCGGGCAGGCCCAGTGAGCAGCAAGCTGTTGGCGGGGGATGTTCTTGTCCAGTGGGGGTGCCGCTGGGGGCCGCGCTCGAGCCGGGGGGGAGCCCGGCGAGCGGCGGCCTGGTAGCGGCGCGTGGTCGTGTCCGGTGGGGGGGGGGCGGGGTCTCTACCGACTCGCTTTGGCGAGCGGGTGACTCACGCAGCGCTTGATGCGTCGGTCGGGGGGACCAAGTCTCGCGGGAGTCCGAGGCCGTCGGGGGGGCGCCGGTGATAGGGCGCCAGCTCCCGGAGGTGGTCGTTTCGCGACCGGTCAGAGCGCTCGAACATATTGGTGCTCAGGCGCTGCACGAAGGCGTCGATGCTCTCTACGCCGAGATCTCGGGCGATTGTCGCGTTCCGTACGAAGCGCGGGGCCTTGACGATGGTGCGCAGTGTCAGCGACTGCTGCGCCTGGAGGCGTTTCCGGTTTGATTCGGACACGAGCGCGTACCATGCCGGGGCGGCGTAGGTGAGCCGTGTCCGAACGTAGGCCTTGTAGATGCCGAGCTTCGCACGGAGAGGCAGTGCCGAGTCGATGACCGGGCGTAGGAGGTGACGCGCGGCGCGCGCCCGAGCAACAGCCTGTTGCACGTGGGGCATCATGGAAAGCGAGCGGTCGATGGTCACGCCGAGGTATTTAACTCTCGACGCCCACCGGACCTGCTCTCCCATGAGGGTGATGGGTGTTGGCTTCATGATCCCCACGGCGAGTGCTTGTGTCTTGGCCACGTTCACGGCCAATCTCCACTTCTCCAGCCATTCAGGGAGTGCATCTAAGGCGCGCTGTAGTTTGGCTACTGCGTGCCTGGGATTCATCGACGTCGTGTAGTAGGCGGCGTCGTCGGCGTATAGCGCAAGCTTGGCGCCGTCCACGACGGGCGCAAGTGCACCAACCACAGCAGCTTCTCGAAAAGTTTCGAGGTGGTGTCCAGGAGCGTGATGGGGCGATAGCTCCCCGGCAGCAGCGTGTTCTTCCCCTGTTTGGGCAGCATTATTACTCTGCCGAGCTTCCACTTGGTTGGGAAGTGTCCGGTACGGAGGATGCCATTGAAGAGCCGCGTGAGTGTCGCGATTCCTCGCGGTGGCAGGTGGCGAAGGGCTTCGTTTGGGACTCCGTCCGGGCCGGGCGCCTTGCGTAGTGGGGCTCGCAGAGCCATGCGTCGCACCACGCCAGGGGAGAGCACCACTGGGTCCTCTTCTGGGGAGATCGGTTGCTCCAGGTACTGCGCTACTTGGAGCTCGATAGCTGCTGTGTGCTGCACATTGCGGGCCGGGTTGGGCTGGAACTGGCTCTCCAGGGAGTCGGCGAAGAGCTCCGCTCGGTCCTCGGCTCGGTAGCTCCAACAGTTGTTCGTTGGGATTTTCTATCCATGTTTATTCGCTTGTAAACTTTGCATGTGCGATGTAGGATTCTTGTGACGTCATCCGTTGATTTGTGACATGTGTCGCCACAACACTAATTGTATAAAGAGGAAAGATTTGATTTTTTGTTTGTTTGTTTTGTTTGTTTCAATGGCATCTCTTCCGAAACTGCCGGGCCGATGTGAAAAATTCTTTTACCGTAAGAATCCTACATTATCGATGCTGAACATAGTATAAGTTTCGTGAGACATACTAAATTAACTCGTCGAGTACCGGTTTCGTAGACACAATTATAGAACAATAGGTTGCGGTCACCGGTGACCACTTGGTGTTTGACAGTTTAATTATTATATTTTCGGCTTACACACGTAACTGTTTGACGAGGAACTCGACTAGTTTCAAGCCATGGTAGAGGCTCATATTCATGACCAATATTCCGCGACCCGCGACGCGCAGACTAGCAGTAGCAGCGCGACAGTCACCGCGTCGCGGGTAACGCGATCAATCCCTAACTTTTTTCTCCGTCCAAACAGAGCGAAGTCGGCACCCAAGCTAGCGGATCCCAGTGGTACACCTCCCACGCGACTCCAAACGGCTCCTTGAACAACAGCACATCGACTGTCAACAACACGTCGATCAACAACAACAACAGTATCTCAAGCATCAACACACAGACAGACACGCCGTCCGCGTCACCTTTACGAGAACTGAGGCAAGAGGTGAGAAAAGTTCCCAAGGTCAGTTTCAGAATACGTACATATATTTTAGTGTTGGAAGTCTCTAACACTATGTGGCTAAATTCTAATGTAAGTTAACATCAGCGATAACAATGTGATCAAAATAAGTGTGGCTTTACTCTCTGAATTGGTAGTTTTTTATGCTGGTGTGTCGTGAAATCGCCAGCTTCTTATACATGAGAGCGCGGGTTAGAAACCTACCAACGGCACTTGCCGTTGTAGGTTTGCAGTCACATTGATACTTATCAATGTGACTTTTCCGAGTTATATGTACTTTCTAAGATTATCTACACACCACTGACAAACGCTGAAGGAAAACATTGTGAGGAAACCTCTTATAATTTCTTATTATAAGTTTGAAATTGCCAACCCGCATTGAGTATGCGTGGTGTTTAATGCTCAAGCGTTCTCCGTGTAAGAAGCGGCATTGGTCAGCAGTGGCTGTTGATGATGATGATGATGATTTCGAGATTTGAGCCTTGTTAAGGTTGTATTGAAAGTAGTCAAATGAAATGAAGAGATTAATTAATGTAGGTGAGAAAAAGTGTCATTACATTTTTTAGTTTTGTCCATGTTCCGTGTACGTTAAAGTGACACACAAAGTTACACTTGGCAGCAAAGTAACAGAGCCACTAACGTTTTTTCATTTTCATTCATTCCCTGATAAATATTTTCTAATACAAGTATTTGATTAATTTGTAACGTATGTAGTATAAATGGCAATTTAGTTACCTTTAAAATGAGAGCATTTTGATTTAAAAGGAATATTTTTCTTTTAAGTTATAGAGATTTCGATAAAATGAAAAAAAAGGAAACGCTTGTAGGGATTTTTCTTTTTCATTTTATTTGTGTTAATAAGTTGACTTCGATATGTGTCATTGAAATGAAAACGCGAATCCATTTGTTTTCTTTTTTAATTAATTTCATAGTAGTTTTATTGTAATATCATAAATCAGCTGATAATAATGGGAAGATAATAAACACAGCTGTATTATTTTATACTTTATTAATTTTATTGTAAAAAGCACTTATATCACAACGAGTATTAAATTAAGTAAACTTTTACGTCTCTTTGTGGATTAGAAGACGCCTAAATTATAGGGTTAGTCTATACAAATGCCGCGGAGGACTTAACGGGTTGCCGGGGCTCCGGCTCGAAGTGCATGAGTAGGAACGGGGTGGTTTTTAGTCAGTAAGAGTCTGACACTCCCTCTCGCCTCACGCAGGCTGGAGAACTCATTCGATGATTTTCCTCCCTTAAAAAAAGTCTACAAATAAAAAAAAGAAGAATGAAAAAAGAAACAATATGGTGTCGACCCTAAGTGGCCTGGAGTAAAAACAAGAAGAAGAAAATTAATATACAATGGTAGGTATTAAAACCAAAAATAAACTGAAACTTTTTGACTTAAAGGTCGTAAGAAATCGATGGACGCAGATCGCTGCCAACTGGCCGATCAGCTAGGCTATTATATAGTATTTCTTTCAATTTGACAGATCGAAGTGAACTTGCTCCCGGTCCGCCATGCTCTGAGTTATACTCACTATCTCATCTTAATATCACTAAGTATATATAAAATATATTTGTTATGTAAAAGCACGATGGGATTGATATCGTCATAAAACGTGTACAAAATCCCTTAAAATAAAAGAGGTTAAAAAAACAGATTATAATCTTGACTACAATAATTTCGACCGAGCTCACTTCGAAAGTTCAAATTTGCAGAAATGTAAATTCCAGAATAGCCTAGCTGAAAGTTATTGGGGGAGAGAGGGGGGGGGGCTATGTTCACAGCCAGGGTATGAAAATTTATTAGTCTGTCAGTTAAATAATGAAAAAATATTAGACACGTATTTTTTTATTTTGTCGTATAAAGAGGTTGTTACGTCATAACGTGCTACAAAATGTCACGTCAATTGTGTCATAAAATGCTTCAAAATGTTGCACCTTGTGACGTCACACGATATTTCAAATTGATATATCGTCGAAAGTGTATAATTTTGTAAGAAAAGAAAAAATACGTGTCTAATAAAAAATAAAATATAGGAAACTACCCTATTAAACATCTTATATCACTACATAGTATAAAACAAAGTCGCTATCCGCTGTCCGTCTGTCCCTATGCATGCTTAGATCTTTGAAACTACGCTACGTATTTCGATGTGTTTTTTTTTAATAGATAGAGGGATTCTTAAAGAAGGTTTATGTATTATACATGCATATTGCACCCGTGCGAAGCCGAGGCGGGTCGCTAGTGGCGGATATAATGACGAATGTTTAATATGAATAAAAATTAATGTGTGCCATTAATTTTTCCCAGGTAAATTGTATCCCTGAGGAGGTTCCCACGGAAAGGTTAATAATTAAAAAGATTCATTACAATGTGGGTAAACGTGCCTTTCTATGCTTATTTTGATTGCATTGTTCGATATATTTAATTTTGCTCCTAGCTTATATTTTGATAACACCAATATTGTTTTTAACTTTTGTTTTGAACGCCTACCAACATCGACTAGGTCTACTACAATTATAACATAACATAATATCACGCCTTTTATCCTCGAAGGGGTAGGTAGAGGTGTACATTATGGCACTGTACAATGAACACCCACTTTTCACTATTTATGTTTGTGTTGTGAGTCCCATGTAATAGGGGGTGATCCTATTGTCATATACCGGGTACAATTCCAGACTACGTGCTACTACAGAGATTAAAAAAAAATCCAATAACACTTTGCCCGACCCGGGAATCGAACCCGAAACTCCTAGCCCGGCAGTCGTACACGAGACCACTCGGCCAACGACGTAGTCTACTACAATTATGTATAGTAAGTTCTGTTCAACTTGATCTGGTCTGATCAATTTAATCTGAATCTTAAGTTAATATTAAAATACAAATATTCTTCAGCCCGGGTCGCGCAAAGTATTACTGGGTTTTAAAAAAAATATCAGTGGTAAGCACGGCGGCGTTTGGAATTGTGCCCAGTAAATGGCAATAGGCTCACCCTCTATTACATGAGACTCATATCATAAATAGTGAAAAGTGGATGTTACATTGTACAGTGGCATTAAGTGCCGTAATGGGTACCTCTGTCTATCCCTTCAGGGATAAAGACGTGATGTTATTTATTTATATTTGTCCCAAGCATCTGCAAATAATAAAAGTCTTTGCTCAGATCAAGATGAGTTTCGTCCCTTCGGTTTAAAAGCAGCGACAATACTTACACGTGCTGTAAACACGTCTAATAATTATTAATTTTCGAAAACATCTACAATTACAAATTATCGTAATATTTAAATACGCATTCGCAGTATTAGTAGACAAAGAAAATCAAATAAATAACTACTTTATTTGTACATATGTTTTTAATGAATTAATTCTATGTTGACGCATTACACATAACATTTGCGCTTACGCAGAGGTCGCACTATGAAGATTTATAAACGTAATATTAATTATTACTTACACTGTGTATACAATACTTTATAGACAATATGTATTAATAATTATCGATCTTGATATATAAAAACACGATTAATAAACGTTCTACAACATTATGGAAATCAAACATCAATTCCATATACAAATATTAATTTAAAAAATACCCTTAAAAAATAATAATTTGTATTGACGGAAACACACCAAAATGTAATGAAAATGTTCAAGAAAAGAGCGTATTCCTTTTTAAATGACCGGCAACGCACCTGTAACTCCTTTGATGTTGTGGGTGTCCATGGGCGGCGCTGATCGCTTACCATTAAGTGATCCGTTTGCTCGTTTGCCTCCTATTCCATATAAATAAAAACGTGTATAATTTATCAGTCATCCGTATACACAGGTTGGTCGATATTTCGACTCTTATACTGATTCAAGATTAAACTCTACTGTTATATCCATCAGACTTAGGAACGGAGTGGTTTTTAGTCATTAAGAGTCTGACACTCCCTCTCGCCTAACCTAACCCAAAGCGGGAGAATTCATTGGACGATTTTCTCCCCTCAAAAAACTATTATTTATCAGTAATGTCTAGAGAAAATATTTACTTCCATGTATTTATACATATATTATATTTTCTCAAGCCTAAAAATTCATGTTTTACAAAAGAAAAGTATCTTCTATATCTTTCATACAACTAATAGTAAACTTCGTTGTGCACTGAATTTACGACTCTCTTGATAAGTATTCAAGAGTTGAAATGTAATAATATTAATTATAATTAACTCTAAAACCGACTAAAACAAAATAACGCGTATCGCTATTTCGCTTTGCTTCTTGCCTACATTTTTTTTTTATATTATTTATGCTTGCAATGTGTAACAAAAAAGTAAGTAGTCGTATTTTTAGGTACTGTAACATGGCAATGAGTTCGACTATAGTCAGAATTTTAATTAGATTCCAGATTTGACAATAGCTACTGTCATTTTGTGAAATAATGATACCACATATAATAGTGTAGTGATGAACACAAAAATCGATAAACAATCAGTGTGTGTGTTTTATTAAATGTTACAGAAAGTGACAGGATAGCGATAGCGATGACGGCGACAATTTATAAAATAACTTATTACCATAATACATCTACCTGTTTTATTTGTCATGTTCCTTCATGATTACATTTTTTTATTTATTTTACACACAATTATAAAAGAAAAGTCTCAGATCGTTAATTAATCGTCAAAACTAAATTATCGGTTTAGAAATATTTAATTTCCTGATATACTTAGTTTACGAGAGTAAAATTATAAACGAGAAGAATCGATCCAGAAATATTGCATTTCCATATCGAATAATTTCGTAACGTCACTATTTAGTACTTGTCATAACGTTGCAACACTGAAATTGTCAAATCTGGAATCGAATTAAAATACCGAGTATAGCAGTTAACATTTTCCTGGAATTGGACCCCATTTGGGGGTAACAATAAATTTTATGGAATTATTCGAATGGAAATATATCTACTATATAATGACTGCTTTGTAAGCCGAGTGTTCGCTAGTGCGACTGGCGAGCAAGGTGTCTCGGGTTCGATTCCCTGGTAAGGCAAAGTAATACTGTGTTTTTAAAAAAAATCTCAGTAGTAGAACGGTATATGGTAATAGGCTCACCCCCTATTACATGGGACTAATAACATCGTGAAAAGTTGGTGCTACATTGTGCGGTGGCATTAAGTGCCGTCCTAATGTGCACCTCTGTCTATCCCTTCGGAGGTAAAAGGCGTAATGTTATACGTGGAAAATATATCTTTGCTTATTTCCTTAGGGATTTATTAAGGATAATTATGTCAGTATTGTAATAATTATTGTACAATGGCATAATGTACACCTCTGCCTACCCCTTCGTGGATAAAAGGCGCGATGTTATGTTATTTTAATTATGTTAGTATTAGGCCATGAGACATATAACCTTTTAATACGACAAATATTCTTTTGTTACATGTTGTACTAGTACTTAAAGCGTCATGTACTAGAACTTGTATATTTTTTTTTGATTGGATATTGATTTGAACCAATCATATAGGTTTGTGCTTATTCCCATTTTGAAACATTATAACCTAAACGTATACTTTGGTTTTGCACATAACACGTCACGTTCAAATTTCTTTAAACTATCGAATTAATGAAGAGTTCATGGACTATGTTGTTTGTTATCGTTGATAGATGGGTTTCATTATAAAAGTATAAACCATGACTATAAAAGAACCTCTTTGGTTTAGTCTATTGCAACTGGCGTATGAATGTGCAAGTCCAAAAGTAAACTATGTATCATCGGTCTAGATATTGATACTTCGTTAATTTAAAGCCGTTCATGAAAAATATGTTTTCTAAATCTTAAGAGTGATAATGAACTCATTCTGTACTTATGGCTTGCTCAAAGCGGTCAAACTTATGTTGACTGACTGAAAAACAATTACTGTGTTTAAAAGTGAAATAAATGCTTTAATTTTGCCTAGACGAGTTATTTTAAGATATCAAATTCAGACCGACATACATTAGTATAAAAATAATCCCTTATCAGCTGGTGACCGAGCGCCCGCTCCGTGCTGAAGTCGAGCGCGAACGAAGACTGTCCCAACGAACTAGCCTCATCACTTCCTCTGCCCCACCCTCGAACCGAGACTCAGTGGGTGAGTATTAACCCTTAATCCCATACAAATAAGTCACATTTTTCTACAGCGAACAAGTCCTGGGGGTTTACTCTTGAATCCATTTCCAATCGATCGACATTGATATTGTGAAATTTCGTACTCTTGAGTTTCAACACTAGCGCCCATTGCATCCGTTTGGCGTGGATATTGAATGAACTAAATTATATTGAATTTAGCTTTATATTTGGTACTCTGAATGCTATTTTCAACAGCTCAGATAGGGGTTGTATAATTTTGACATTGAATAGTTGTTGAGATTTTATTGTATTGACATTGAGATTGGTTTCAAGAGTAAGCACTGTTAGAGTTCAATTTTGGCTGGCTATGGCTTTCTTATTGATAAGTTAACTTTTTAACAGTGTGTGCAGCTTGTATATTGGCTTAAGTACTTTCTAAGTAGAGTATTTATTCTGGGATATTATCATGTATAATATTGTATTTACTGAGCCATTTATTACAACTGTGATTGAAGTATAAACGCATTGTCAGCTGCGAATGTCTTTAACCCGTGGTATGACGGAACGTAGATATACGTGAGACACAATCTGTCTCTCATAAGCGGTTAATACATTTTTAACTTTACCATTTTGAAATAAGATCGAAAATCGACTGAAAACATCTATACTTTTATAGTAACGTACAATAAATTCATCTTAATAGTAGTTTCATCATAATATTTGACTTAAGAAAACATATAGTACAACTGTTTAATCAAAATACTATGTTAAACATTATTTTCTTTCCCAGGAACTACAGATTCCAACCAAGAAGAAGAAGAACCCCCTCCATTACCAAAGAAGTACGCCCACCGAAGCATGGACCTCGACAGCGATACCAACAACAACGGGGAGTCGAACCCCCTCCCTCCTAGACACAACTATGACACAGTTTGGGCGCCGCGAGGATCATTCTTGTACAACTCTATAGCTCATAGAAGGAATACGACTAATGATAAAGCGCCTACACCACCTCCGAAAAAGCGTAACGCCCAATAATTATTTAAAGAAATTTGTACTCTATTTTCATGCATATATATAAAGCTCCTATAAGCCTAACTTGTACCAGTGTAGGCCCTGTAAGGATTGTTCTTACACATAGAAGAAATATGAATAATGATAAAGCGCATACACCTCAGTAATAGCGACGCACAATAATGGTTAACTAAATTTTTACTCTAAATCCATGTACATAAAACTGGATATACTTTGGCTTAAACAGTGATTGCGCAATTTCGTCGTTAACTTCAACGTGCTAAAGGAATTTATACTCTATTTCAATACGTATAAAGCTTTGAGTCTTCTGTATTGAAGATTAGGTGTTAAAGAACTTTAAACTTAATTTGTATAGCTTTGAATACTCGATATTGAGGTATCAATGATTCTTCAAAGAACTACTTGAATAGACAATATGAATTTAAAGACATCCTAGATAAGGTCTCATTTTGTGGAAAACATAATTGCTTAAAAGATCTCTTCTCATACAGAGAAGGAATCAGCATGTTAATGCTTAGTTAGCTATATTTAAGCGAAATTATTTATTAAAAACCAGTGAATTATGATATTAAAAAATTCAGCCATTTTAATCAAAAAGTAAAGCTAAAAATCCACCGATTTGTTTTTTTTTTAAATTATGTTTTTATGATGTTATATAAGATTTTAATTTACAAGTTATGGAATGAATTTTATTATTGTTTTGTTTTATTGGCGAGAAACTGTTTTATAGGTGGATTAATTGTTGTATGTACATCATTTCTTTATTGGTACATTAATTGAACAGTTAATTACAGTTACAATAGGCCGGTAAACGAGCAGATGGATCACCTGATGGTAAGCAATCGCCGCCGCCCTTGAACACCCGGAACACTAAAGGCGTTACAAGTGCGTTACCGGCCTTTTGGGGATTAGAAATTTGAACATTGTTGGGATTCAGAGATTGGGAAAGGTAACTAACTGGGCCTCCGAAAACTTTACACGACGAAACACAACGCAAGTGCTGTTTCACGTCGGTTTTCTCTGAGGCCGTGGTATCACTTCTAATGAATCACTAACACAATGTTAATTGCATTTTTTTTTCTCAAGTAAGTTACAGAAATCATTTATTAATCCTTTTTAATCTTTCATAAATTAATCTTTTACGCGACTACACCAATACAAAATGGAGGGTTGTGTTTTTTGACAGATATGTACGTATGTATAATAGGGTTGATGCCTAATTTTTATTTTAATGTCCGTCTGGTAGATTATTTTAAATCATTAGACACGTATTTTTTTCTTTCTTTTAGAAACGAATACTTTTGACGTTATATTGATTTGAAATGTTGCGTGACGTCGCTTCTATGAACATTTTATACGTAGAAATGACGTTTTAGTCCCCACTCCTAAACTTTGATTCGTTTTATCTAAGTATTGTTTTATTATACGACAAAATAAAAAAATACGTGTCTAATATTTTTTCCTTATTTAACTTACGGACTTATTCGATTTTTAATTTTCATACTCTGGCATCATCCCTATTGTTATCTATAAAATGGTTTCTCAGTCAACGAACCTAAGATGGTGGTATACCGAAGCCTAGATGTACGCAAGATACAATGTGTTTTCTATTGAGTCTCTTATACCGGCACTCAAGAGGATATTACAATTGGGTACTTGCCAAATACTCAAATTCAATACTTTTTGTACGAGATTGTGTATTGTGACGTCACGTTTTTTTAACGTCAAACAAAATATTTATTAGTTAAAAATTTGCTGGAGAAATATCAAAATCAAGTTGGTCATGAAATCAATTAATGAAAGTGTCATTGTTTTTTAATATTTTATTGTATTGAACAGTCGAAATAATTTATTTTTGACTAAGGTAAGTACCAAATTGTAGAAAGAATACAAATTAATGATATTATAATTTTTGTGATATTTAAAAAAGTCACTAGATGCCATGTATCCAAAGTTTTGTAATGATATTTGAACGTTACCGAAACCGATATTATATAGAAGAATACAAACTATAATGACCCTTATTTCTTAAAGTGCAAAGCCAGTTTTTCTATGAAGTTTTTTGTAAATGTTTATTACTAAATATAAAGTAAACTGACCTTTATATCGTAAACTATAAAACCACTTTTGCTATGAAGTTTATTTGTAAAATAATTTTGCTTTAATAAAATCGGAGAAAATTATATTAAGAAATTGTTTTTTTTCAGTATTTTTCTTTATATTTATACGTAAAAATGTAATTTAAGTTAGAAGGAATGATTTTGATTAAAAAAAATTATTCGCATTTAAAAACACATCACTTTGTGGTTTATGCGAATTCGACTTTGTTTTCTAGATAATAAAATCCCATTTGCATTGAATTAGGTATTTTTTGAAATTATTATGTTTTAAGTAAAGGAATCTATTTCCATATACCATTTTGCGGCCATATTTAGCACCAAATATACAAAATATGAAGTTTTGTATATAAAATATATTATTATTGTATATTATTAGATATATTTGACAATAATGTAATAATAGTAATTATTTTTAAACAATTGTTCAAATGTACTACAGTTAAATGTTAAAACTTAAGTCTGTAAGTTTGCTTATTCAAAGTTATACTCTATTTTCATAAGAATACCGCATACTTTTCATTGTCTTAACAAGATATATGTGAAAATCATTTTGTTATTTGTAATTTTAAATATACAGATCAAATTAGAATAAGTGAAGTGTTTATTTATATATTTTGTAGCAATTTGATCCTTATAGATATTAAAATAAGGTTTATTTTTAAGAATTAAATAAGTTATTGTTGAATTGTTTTCATTCGTGAATCGCGGGGCGACATTTTTGAAGAAACTTTAATTTTAATATGTACACAAATTATTGTGTTTTATAAAATTAATTAATATTAAGAAAAAATTACAAATAAATAACATATTTAAAAATAAATAAATAACTTGGAATAAACGTTTATTCTATGGTCTTCCAATTTTAAAGAATAATTTTACTTTTTATTTCGTTCCGCGGCCATTAAACACCAAATATACGATTGTTGTTTTTTATTGTATATTTCATTGTATATTATTAATAAAATACTCTAGTATGTAGATATTATTATTGTGTACTCGTGTCGCAATATTGATCAATATTACCAGCAAATAAATAGAATTTTATAGAAATATTTGGTTTTATTATTGTTTTGTAGTTCCCTGTATTTGCATGCAATTTGATTCAATGAAGGCTATCGGTTTTTTGCTCACCATGTAGGTATAGCGCTAATTTAGCAAGGAATATTTTTGTCCAAATACTAGCTAGCTAGGCCTTTGCCCTGCAGTGGGACGATCATGGCTAAAAACAAACAAACAACTAGCTGTCAAAAATTCAACGTCCAATAGGATAGTATCTTAGACGATCTCCGGCCACCGTAAGCGGGGGCAAAGAGTATAATAAGTATAGCGGGGGTCTGCGGATGGTGAGCAAGGGTGGCTCGCCGCCCGACCAAAACCAGATCTAAGCGTACGGCGCGTTGCGTTCCGCGCGCGCCTCAAAGAGCCATATCATCCGACCACCACACGAGGTGGTTTTAGTCAATAAGAGTTCCTTTCGTCTAACCCAAGGCGGGAGAAGGCAATGGATGATTTTCGCCACTCATAAAAAAAAGAAATAGGGTGGTATCCTAAATTTTATTCGAATGTCTGTCTGGTAGATTATCATAAAACATTAGACACGTATTTTTTCTTTTCTAAAAAATTAAATACTTTCGACGATATATTGATTTAAAATATCGTGTGACGTCACGATTTACTACATTTTATAGGGTATCGTGACGTAACGACCCCCACTCCTAAACTTTACTCCGTTTTATCTAAGTATTGTTTTCTTATACGACAAAATAAAAAGAAATATCGTCTAATATCTAATATGTTTACATTATCTAACTGACGGACTAATTACATTTTTAGTTTTCATACACTGTCTACTACCCTATTTTGGGACAATAGCTAATTCCCTTTAGGAGGAAGAACGAGAGGTGCACACTAGCGTCATCTAAAGTCGCGGAGAACCTAACGGGTAACCGGGGCTCCGGCTCGACGTGCAGGAGAAAGAACGGGGTGGTTTTTAGTCAGTAAGAGTCTGACACTCCCTCCCGCCTCACCCAGGCGGGGGCAGTCATTCGATGATTTTTCCCCCTTAAAAAAAAAAAGCGTCATCTAAAGCGCAAAAATGTAGTAGCCCCCATTCTAGAGATAGTACTATGACAGACTGCACGGTTAGACGATCGGCTGCTTTGCAACGTGTCGTGGGCTCGGGTCCCGTACGGAACAATTCTTTGTGTGATCTACAAATTGTTCTGGAACGGGGTGACATGTGAATATGAAATGTGTAGTTCAATACAATAAATTAAAAAATAATCACACTTTCATAAATTGGTTTGGTGACCAACTTGATTTTAATATTTCACCAGCAATTTTTTAAGAAATAAGTATGCTGTTTGACGCTAATAAAACGTGACGTCACAATACACAATCTCGTACAATTCATAGAAAACTGTCGTTTTTGACAGGTCGAAAAAAGTATTTAATTTCTCGGTTGCCAAAGAAAAAAAAAAGTACCTACCTATTTAGTTTGACTAGTTGGCAAGTACCTACTCAATTATGTACTACGAAACAGGAGAAAATCCTTGTGTGCCGCCACTCCATACGAAATGAGTCAAAATTATATTTCTAGTAAGTATCGATTTTTCAATTATCAGTTCTTAATTGTAGAAACATTTTACTGATTTTAAGAATTGTCAAATATTCCAAGTTATTCGTCAGTCAAAATCTATCTGGCGTTGGAATAACCCCTAAGCAGATAAAACTAACAGATATGTCGTAAGTAGGTTCTAATGTAATAGCTCTAATGTAATAGCACAATAGTTTGAACTAAGTGCCTGCCTTTCTACCCATATCTTTTATTTTTCTCTTTGGCAACCGAGTCTCCAATACCATGTTGTCGAGTAAGTATACTGCCAGTCTCGAGTGGTGACGGCAGATTTACCCATATCTTTATCAAATAACTGAACATTACTAAACTCATAAAACTTATGTGCGTCACTGTTAACCATGGACAGAAAACAGTAAAATTGTAACATCGCGATATCTACTTACATAAAAAAAAAAACTATAAAATTCCCATAGGTACCTACCATTGATGGTGATTGTATCAAGGCTCCATATTACGTAGCTGTGAACTAGGCGTCCAATGCTATGTTACAATTCCCGTAAAAATAATGTAGTTTGCGTCAAGCCTTATCGATGTCTTGTGACTGCCTATGCTAATTGTACCTACAGGCCTTGGTGGGTTCATGAAAATCATTTGCATGTGTTATACATTTTCTATGGACTGTATGTAGGGAGTCAGTCGATATTTTTAACCGACTTCAAAAAGAAGGATGTTCTCAGTGGACCTGTATGTATTTGTGCGCGATTATCTTGCTATCGGCTGAACAGGTTTCGATGCGGTTTCAGAAAAGTGTTTGTTTTTTTTTAAATCGTTGTCCTACACTAGGATTTTTTCCTGTGTCGTGGGTGCATTTACAAACATACAAATTCACATACACATGACAGCTAGATCAGGAACAATAATCTTTGGATCACATAAAGAATTGTTCCGTGCGGGAATCGAACCCGCGACACGTTTCGCGTCAGCCAGTTGCACAGCCACCGCGCCAACCGTACAGTCTAAAGTGCAGTGTTACATTTAGGAAATTGTTTTAGTATGTATAATATACCTATTAATTAACCGAATAGCAGAAAAGTGGGGGTTGTAGTCGGTTTTTTTAAACGTAGTTTATGAAAGAACTAGCTCATACATACCCGCGATTTCGTCCTCGTAGAATAT